CCGTGGGGCAGCCCCCCGCGGGGGGGCACAGCCTCAGCGGGGGCAGGGCGGCAGGCACTCACCACGCGCCCCCAGCGGTTCCAGCAGCTGTAGGTGCCGCCCTGCTCGATGAGCTGGATCATGTAGAACTTGTTGTTGTTGTTCCCGATGTCGGTTTGGTTCAGCATGCAGTCGTAGTCCTCGTGGATCTGACCCAACACAGGGCAGCCGTGACCGGAGGGGCCCTTGGGCGTGGGCGGCCACACGGTTGCCCCGGGGCAGACTGTGCTGGGTGGCACACGGCGGGGTCACCCCTGCACTCCGTGCCTCATGCCAGGATCCTCGGGCTGCGCCCCAGAGCAGTGTCAGCGGCCGGGGTCCGCGCTGGGCCCCTGGGGCCGGGATCCCTGGGCTGCACCCCAGAGCAGTGTCAGCGGCCGGGGTCCGCGCTGGGCCCCTGGGGCCGGGATCCCTGGGCTGCACCCCAGAGCAGTGTCAGCGGCCGGGGTCCGCGCTGGGCCCCTGGGGCCGGGATCCCTGGGCTGCACCCCAGAGCAGTGTCAGCGGCCGGGGTCCGCGCTGGGCCCCTGGGGCCGGGATCCCTGGGCTGCACCCCAGAGCAGTGTCAGCGGCCGGGGTCCGCGCTGGGCCCCTGGGGCCGGGATCCCTGGGCTGCACCCCAGAGCAGTGTCAGCGGCCGGGGTCCGCGCTGGGCCGTGGCTCTTACCTGGGCAGCGGTGTCATTGCTCAGCTGACAGGCAGAATCGATCTTGGCTTTGACCTTCTCCTTGGGGGCGGATTTCAGCGCCTGCACGGTGGAGCGGACGTTGTCCTCCTCCGGCTCCGGCTCCGGCTCTGGCTTCACCTTCTTGCCCTGGGCCCGGGCCTTGGCCGGCGCCTTGCGTTTCGGGGCCATGGCTCCCTGTGGCGACAGCGCCCCGCTGCAGAAAGAGCCAGGGGCCCGGTTAGTCTGGCTGCTCTCCTGTGCTCTGCAGAGGCAGGAGGGAGGCCGAGGGTGGAGCGGACGTTGTCCTCCTCCGGCTCCGGCTCCGGCTCTGGCTTCACCTTCTTGCCCTGGGCCCGGGCCTTGGCCGGCGCCTTGCGTTTCGGGGCCATGGCTCCCTGTGGCGACAGCGCCCCGCTGCAGAAAGAGCCAGGGGCCCGGTTAGTCTGGCTGCTCTCCTGTGCTCTGCAGAGGCAGGAGGGAGGCCGAGGGGACACTCTGGTTTCCTGCTGGATTCCCCGGACAGGCCTGAAGCTTCACTAACCGTGGGCCAACGCCAAGGGCTCCGCAGGGCCAGGCTCCGGCAGCCTTGTGCTTACGGCAGCGGCTGGGAACCCGGGGCCCTGGGCTCTGCTCCCAGCCCTTTTCCCCACCCACAAAATGGGGACCATACCCATTCCCCGGCTGAAAGAGGACAGGGAAGGCTCCATCTCGCTAGGGTGTGGGGCGAGCCTGAGGTGGAACAGCCTGGAAGCATCCCAACCTCCTGTTTCTAGAGCTAGTCCTGCTGGAGCCAACCAGGGCCGCTGCTGCTGGAGCCAACCAGGGCTGCTGCACGCAGGCAGCGCCCCCGATCCGCTTAGCGAACCCTCCCTCCTGCCCCACTTGGCCCCCCCACGCTGAGCGCAAGCCCCCAGACGTTACTGTTCTGCTGGGAGCGCTGGGCCGAGCCTGGGCCCTCCAGAGAACCTGCAACCCTGCGAGGGGCTGGGCTGCACGGGATACAGCCAGCGAGGCCCCCCCAGTGCCGAAGGAAGCGGAGGGTTAGGAGCAGCAGAGGCAGCCCCGGGGAAAAACACAGAGGCTCCCGCGC